AAGTGTCAAGTCCACAGTATGGTAGTATAGAGCAAATGACCTCGTTTGGCGGCGTTCCCAACTTACACCATGCGTGTCCTCGGTTAGGCGTAACGGACTCGGCCGGTCGTGTTTCCCCAATTATTTGCAAACTCCTGCATGTCCGCATTTCTTCCGTAAAAGTTCAAATGCATAAAATATATAAATTGAGGTATAAATTATAACTTTTCATAATCGTTTAATGTAACAGAGTTCAGGAATAAGGGTGGTTTTCAGCTACATGCAGTATTTATCAAGACCTCGATTAGGAAGATCCAGTCTAAATCCTCGATTTACACCATATACATGTATGTGTGTGTGTGTGTGTGTGGGGGGGGGGGTGTTAGTGGTTTAGAGTGTCGCGCTTCGAACTCTAGCTGGCCGGTTGTGGTTTCGATACCTGGTGTAAGTGTGTATGACTTGGGACGCCTTCTCAGCTTTGTGGGTTTACTCCGAGTAATCCGGTTTTCCCCCAGAGAAAAGACCCACGCGCTAAGCATAATAAAATAAGACGACTTGTCTGCGGGATCACCACCGTTGGAGGCGGACGTTAAACACTAATAAAAGAAAAAGATCCCAATGATGTGTGTGCCAATAAGGCTTTTTCTGGCTGCATTTAAGTGGCAGTGTTGGGATGTTTAGGCATTCCTGTGTAGAAAAGATTCTATGTATGAAACAGCCCAGCCCACTTTTGTAAAATCAACCGATGGTTATTCCATTTGATAAGAAATTCCGAATTTATGTTTCTTAAGCGACCCCTGGGAACCTTTCCGACAACCTTGGCGCGTGTTTCAGATCCATTCGAATAGACTGTTGCAACTGACTGGTATTGCTTAGGTGAATAAAGAATTGAATGTAAACGCTTCGTTCCACTATTACACTTTATCACAATGAGTAAGTGCCGTTCTTTTACACCCTGGGGCCTTATTCACAATTCAGAATTTTCATTGGTTAGAGTTAAATTTCTTAAAATATTTTAATTTAAGTATTTGTAATTAAGGTTCTGTTTTGTTCACAATTGTTACTGTTAGTTTGATTAGCAATAAAAGCACGGTTATTCGAACTGGTAACATTATTAAGGTAGAGATGAGGTGTTTTTTTTTTCAGCATATTTATGTTTATGCTCATCGTTTATGAACCAGTCCCTTCAGAGTCTGCTGGCAGATTGGTTTTTTTAATTCATCTTCGATCTTTATAATATCATACGATATCAGTACAACATTAAATCTTCTTTCCAATCACCATTGATTTGCCTTGCTATAGCTATGGATATTTTATTTATCCCCTCAACTAATTGATCAGGGACGACGGATATTCAACAAACTTAGGATAATTTTTCAATTATTTAATACCGGTAAATATAACATAATACGTCTTATGGTACTGACTGACTAGATAACGAACAGTAAGGCAACCTTAACTTATCTAAGTTAAGGAAACATTAATCAAGATAACAACAAGCCAACTGTGAGGATGATGTCCCACGCCGCAATCCCAAAATAAATAGATGACACATATTAATTAATTGCACATGTATCTTTCTTAAAAAGTACCTAGCACTCAATCTGATTATCTATACTAAGTCTAAGCAGAAAATGTCCACGATGGAACTCAGTCAAGGTTTGGAAGTACCTGGTAGTGAACCTCTACACTAAGTTTCATCACTCGCCATAAGTTAGAATCAAAGTTTTCTTGTCCCAAAGCATCAACCAATGAAATTGCTTAGCTTTGCTTAGCTTTAGCGGAAAAATGTTATTCATTGAACTCAGTCAAGACATTCATCTACAGCAGGTTTAAACATTCTACCTCAATTAGAAGGCGAGTTATTGTGTTCCAAAGTCTCGACCAATCAAAGTGCTTGTCGCTACTTAGCCTAAGTAGAAAACTCTCATCATCGAGCTTAGTCAAGGTATTGATATAATGAATCTGTGCTTTGAGTTTCATCACTTTCCATCAATTAGAACCAAAGCTATCGTGTTTCAACCAATTAGATTGCTTATCTCTGCTTAGCCTTAGTTGTAAATACGCATGGTCGAATTCTGTCAAGACATCACCTACACCAAGTTTGAACATTCTACGTCAATCAGAAGGCGCGTTATTGTGTTCTAAATCTCGACCAATCAGATTGAAGTATCCACTTAGCCTCAGCAGAAAATGTGTATCAGTATCATAGAACTTAGTCAAGGTATTGATGCAATGAAACTATACATAAAGGTTTCACCTATCCATTTCAATTAGTTATTGAGCACCAAAGTCTCAACCAATCGAATTGCTTATTGTTCTGCTTACCCTTGGAAGAGAATGCTCATTGTAAAACTTACTCAAGGTATTGATGTAATGAAACTTGTAACACTTTTCGTTCTTCAAGACCCAACTCTTTTGTAACTTAATAATGTACTTTTATTCTGCTTCTTAAATATCAAGTACAAACATCTTAATGTTAAAGACCCCATAACTAACTTGTATTGAGGGAGCCATGTCCTAACTTGGCACACATGTGCCAATTCTCAGACGCTCTCCCTCGTCCCGTCTTCTCCTGTGCCTGGACTCGGCCTGGACTCTCCTTGTCTGACTTTCTATTGTTCGTTCGTTCTTTTGTTCCTAAAGTTTTACGTCCACTTCCACCTAAGGTGATATCGTAGACAAGTGTTTCCTAAGAAACTTACTAGAGGAAGCCATAGGGAATAGGCTTGGTCCAGTTTGATTTTGTTTTAAGACATAATGTCTTTGCAGGGGAATGCCCAAAGTAAACCTCATCGAAAGGAGAAAGGAGAAAGTTCGGGGAATAAAAAAGGAAGAAAGGCGAGCGGGCCCGCTTTGCCATTGATGCTACGACCTTAGTTAGGGTAGGACTTTCTATTGATTAAATATCTTGTTTTAATCCCTTCCGGAGATTATAGGCCCCACCCCTTTAATTACTATGCTCTGATTGGCTAGAAGGGTTAGCCAATCGATTAACATGTGTTTTAGGTCAGGCACGAAGAGTTCCCCCAACCATTAAACAGCTGGGCATTGCATCATACCAGATTCAGTTATCAGCTTTACGAGACAGGGGTTATTGTCTAACTGCTACATCTAATGGCTTTCACATGACTGGACATCTGGTGTCATTACATCATAAAGAATATATTTTAGATTAAGTTTTCCATGTGTCAAAATGGCGACGTATAATTTGCCCTTTTGTAACAAACTATACGCCAAGTCTCATCATTCTCACTTAATTAAAACCAAAGTTATCGTGTCCCGAAGCATCAACCAATCAAATTGCTTATATGTGCTTAGTCTGCGCAGAAAGTGTTCATCTTCGAAATCCATCAAGGTATTCACCTTATACACACCTACTTCATGTTTGCACATTCTAGCTCAATTAGAAGGAGAGTTATTGTGTTTCGAAGTCGCCACTACTACTTAAACTACTTATTGTCATGCTTACCCTGGGCAGAAAATACCCATTATCGCATTTAGTCAAGGTATTGATGTAATCAAACTTTACACCAGGTTTCATCACTCTCACTTAATTAAAACCAAAGTTATCGTTCCCCAAAGCTTCAACAAATCAAATTGCTTATCTTTGCCTAGCCTAAGTAGAAAATGCTCTTCTTCAGATTCCATCAAGATATTCACCTAATAAACACATACACCACGTTTGTACATTCTACCTCAATTAGGAGAGTTATTGCGTCCCAAGAGGTGTCACGAACCAACAGACAGACGGACATACCCATTTTAATAGTCTCCTGCTTTCTTGAAGAAAGAGTATATTTACAATATATTACACCAATAAAATGATATATAATTAAATAAAACAATGAAAGGATTATCTTTCATTTTATACATCGACAGTTGCAGATTTATGGTTGGTTGTCCAGCTTATTTTACAATCGACAAAGTTGGATATTCCCAGTCCCACTACGATAGTATCAATGCCCAGCTACAAAAGACTAGTTCCGTCCAAAGATAGTAATATAGAATAAAGGCAATAATGATTTTAAAAATGAAATTATAATTAATGTCAGCCATTTTTCTGTAGAGACAAAAACATCAAAATCATCGTCAATAGTTACCAATCCTTACAGTTCGCCACACTTACATGTATTTCTACACAGACCGTGAAATGAGTAGATATAAATTTAAAGTATTTAGTTTGGAAGAATCTTATCGTTTGTCTTCCTAGATATCACTTTAATTGAACACCATCTGATTATTATAGATATAATATGTATAATATATGTATAATAATCAGACAGTGTTCAATTCTTTTCCTGATTTAAATGTATTAGTTATCTACAGGTGTCTCAATACTGACAATCGTCCTATAAAAAGTATCATTTATATTGCTAAATATATCGCTACTTTTACAACGATATGCCACGGTTTAGTGAAGTCGATGGATCCGTTTTGTAAGGCAACATAACTTAGTTAGATTGCAATTAGCGTATGTCACAGACGTTGGTAAGTAAAACAGCAAATAGTTTTAATAAAAAAAAAAGATTTTTCCTTGGTTTCGAGTTCGAAATACTAAGGAATAAACCTTTTAAAAAAAAACACAATTATTCAAGAACCGGGACATTGTGTAATTTCTATAAGGTGAGTATTCCACAAACTATTTTGGAATAAACACAACTAAACCAAACGTAAATTTATTGCAAATGCAAAGGCTGTTAGTCAGATAGTTTTATATAATTATATAGTTATAATATACATATAAATAAATATTGATTATATAGATCATTCATATGATACAGGGAATATAATTTAATGAAACATGTTGCATTATTATAAACAAAATATATGATAGCTTATATTATAAATTTAATGTTTTCCGACAGGTGTTCAGATGTGTTCAACATAACGTAATTATACATGTATTATGTCAACTATATTTACGTACATAAAGTTATAATCAGTAGCTACTAAAGACCTGGTATCAATAATAAGCCCCCCCCCCCCACCCAGCCCCCATGGGATAATATACACTTGAACGGGGGCTGGGCTTTACATTTTGTGATATGCTGTTTTCCGTTACTAAACAAAATTGCAAGAAAAATTACAGAAGTTATGATACAAGCTACACGTATTTTCCAAACTTGAAAGGTAATCTACGCCTTATTATTATTGTATGATATTAAGAATAAAAATATATATACATAAAAGACAAATGGAATGACCATTTTCATACTTGTAGTGTACGTGATGGCGTTTCAAAACATCAAATTTATGCAAAAATGCCGAATAGAAGTTGCACTACTCAAAATAATCAACAATGGTGAGAAAATCCAAGAAACATATAAAATTTAATTATGCGAAATTACTACAATATTACTTTCAATAAAAAAAAGTTCCAGTCCCAAACTTAATGTCAGGAAATGTATGCGTTGCTTGACAACTGCGACGATGACTTTACTACGGCAAGTATGCAGATATGATTATCCAGACAAATAGCATAGAGTTCTGGGGCTTATCACTACACTAATTACATAAGAAAACAGAAAGTTTCAGTTTCTGAAACAAATGTAATACGGAGCTTCAGATAGTTGTAGAGAGGACCAGAACAAGGGTTTCTAAATTTCGAACGATTTGGCGAACAAAGCAGTTATTCTCGAATCTCAAAAGTAGCCTAAAATCACAGAAAGTTTGAGAGACGAAAATCTCGAAAACATGTTCCGTAGAGAGTTTACAACAACTGTGGTGGACCGCGGACCAACAGACGTGGGTGACGACAATACACTCCCACATAAAATGCTGGCGTATCAAAAGAACAACAATCACTGCCTCGCGCACGAACCGTCCATCACATATAGCGAACTGGAGAAATGACATGCTCTTGGTTTTTAGAAGCCGAACTAACATTTTAAAATCAAACGTCAATTGTTCCAAAATTCATATAATGGCTGGTATATGTACGAACATACATGGCTAAAACGTAAATACAGCTGCGACGTACTAGCATATGATAATGTTTTTCTCTTTTCTATGGTTACGTATGTAATGTGAGTAGAGGTGGTGAATGACTCAACCGTGTAATGGCTTATAAAAGTAGAAATGAAAAAAAAATAGATGTTTATAAACATTGAAATGGATATAATCGTTTTTGTGTGCGCTTTGGACTGCGTCAATATTAAATCCGGTCCACCATGTTTGTTTGCACAAGTTGATGCCGTTAAGTATCATATGCAGGAAAGCTATTTGAAACTTAAACATCTCCAATTATGTTTAGCCTATAACCACCAGTCGAATATTCCCATTAGCAATACTTGAATGGCTAGAGCTCTTTTAATTAAGGTCAAAAATATTTTTTTTAAATTAGTTTTGTGATACTTCTGTTCGTTGAAAATTTAACGTCATTAAATACAGCTCGTGCTGCGATAGAACTAATTTTATGTTTTACTGTCGACACCGTAAGCCAAAATTGAAGCCAACATTAGTCATCAAGCATACTGTCGCTTAATATTTAGAATGAAAATTTTAATCGTGTAAAGCTTGTCCGATCTCTATACTAAATAACACATCATACTTCCCAATCTGATACTCTATTTGGAAATGAAACAGAGTGGGTTAGTTCCTTTATTCCATGGTTGCTTATTCAAACTTTCCCAAAAATATATAGATATTTTCAAACCTGCACAAAACAATAAAACTTGTCCACTATGCTTTTACGCACAATTATGAAAAACGCCACTTCTAACTAACTAATTAATATCATTTTATGTCTACGGACATTTTTTATTTAACCAACAAGTATTTCGGGTTTAATCGTTTCATTCATACATGGAACAGAACCATTTATGTTTTTATTCCTGATTAAAGCAACGTTCTGTTACACAAACATATTACAAGTTCACACGTGCGTTTCTTCTCCTGTGTTATAGTTCTTACGGCCATTTTTTTCACCTCGAATCAGAGATCCGTTACGAATACTACGCTTCGTAATGCGATTATGCCACTCGTTCTTGCATCCACAGAACAAGGTTAACAGGGTATTTCTAAATGCCGTACTCAAAGAACAGTACAGAAGAAAATTAAATGCTGAATTAACAGCCAATAAAGAGTCTGTGATCTCTCTTATACCTTTAACTAAATTGCTTTCATCTACATAACCAAATCCAAAGAAAGTGGACATTATGGCATCAGGGGTTATACACACAACGAACACCACAATAATGATAATCAGCATTAAAGTAATCTTGTTTCTGGAAGATAGTTTCTTTCCCTTAACTCTTTCCTTTCGGAGTTCGTTTATAATGCGTACATTTAGGTATATTAGAACAATCAGTGGGATTATGGATCGCAAAGAGTTTTGAATCCACTGGTAAGGTACCATGAAGGCGTTGTTGGCACCAAGTTCGGTTAATCCAATCACATGGCATGAAACATTATGCGTAGAATCAAAGGACACCATCGGTTTATATCGCAATGCTGAGGGAAGGGACAATAAAATCATTATCACAAAAACGGCAATGCACACAAGTCTGGCGCGTGGAATGGTACATAGTTGCTTTGCTTGGGTCGGGTAACACACCGAGATGTATCGCTCCACTGCAACGGAGACCGTTAACCATGCTGTTACGCAAACAGACATGTTGAAAATATAATGTGCGAACGGATAAAGACTGATCATCATTCGTTGCCCCGCACTAGGATTATCTGTAGAAATCACTAACATTATGAAATAAAGTAAATCGTTTAATAATTTAATGGTATCCGATACTGCTAAGGCCGAGAGGTACACATTGGTCGACGTCGCCATGTTCTTGTGACTGAGAATCACTAAGGCTAATACATTTCCAGTTATCCCAATGATACACAACACCGGATAAATTATCATTCCCGTTATATACTGGGCTGTGCGGTAAAAATGTTGATATTCATCCGTACTGTTGTCTACACATATTCCTTCCGTCATGCCCGACTGCGAAGACGTTTCAGCCGTCAGGTTGTGATACAACGTCAAAACAGTTTGGTTAGCCAAAGACTGCACAGATCCGCCATCACTGAAGATCTCCATTTTGTGTTGGTTAATGCACTGTAACTTCACTGGTTTATAAACATATGTTACCTAAAAAGTAAATGAAGAGTGAAGAATGTTAACTGTCCTATTCACACATAATATAATATTGTGCAAACATAATTAGTTTTTATACATGAAATGAAATGAAATGACGACATACTGTTCTGCTCAGAACTGGGCTATTGACGGCGTGCGTACGCCATACCGTGTGCTATGAGGGAAATTTTGCTCGGACAGTCGCACTACGGCCTACACTTATATCGAATTCCATCTGTCAATGTATACACGGGACCTCCGTTTTTCGCCCCATCCGAATGACTAGACAAGGGGGACCATGCCGGAAAATCTGAATGAACTTTCTCGGCCAATGCAGGGATCGAACACCCGACCTCCAGGCTAGCGAGCCAGCGTCTTATAGTTTTGATACACTGTGAGGATTAATATTTTTTTCTCACTATTTTTTAGGAAAAAATACATATTCTACACAATTAAACTCTTTACTCTCTGAAATGATATCCGGGTGTGACATCATAGACGAAATTTCACCAACAATAGACATCAAAGGAAACCTTTTTTATTTTTCAAACAATTCAAATGCGATTTTCACCAACTGGTAGGTGTTCATGATTCACAGGTTCTGGGGGGATAGAACGTGGTATCTTAGACGCATCCGTATGACCTAATTTTAAGCTTAAAATTGATAACAGTGAAAATTCTGGGTGTATTTTTTTATTTTTCAAAATATGTTACAAATGGGTGGATTAAGCCCAAAATGTCAACAAAAAATTTATGATTATCTCATTTCTGAAAACGAGGTCAGGTTTTCGACTTCTTTAATTTTGCCTTATTTAAAAATATTTGTCAAAAGCAGTCGTGTCTCAGCTTTTTAGAGTAATCCCATTACGTTAAAAATCACCAGAAATGCCAATCTTTAAGATCTATCTCGTCCTACAATTTTTATCCGATTGTCAATACCTTTGTATGTTTAGAAACCATTCACTATTCGCCATTTGATATTTGACCTAGATTTTGCTTTTAAAATGACGTCGTAAAACTTTGAAATCAGGTAAATGTGGATGCTGAACGATTAAAGTCATTTGGTGCTTATTCTGAGAGTTTTATTATAATTGGCTAGTAAAGAAAGTTTCTGTGCCACAACCCAGAAAATTTTGCCCGGCTGAAATGTTTTTTCTATATAACACAACGACTTTCTGACGGATTTTATTAATTATTTTGTATTTAAGATTCTTAAAAAAAAAACAGGCCAACAATGCAAATTAATCTACTAGATATTGTGATTAATGTATAGTAATTCACAGTTGTGTTTTAATAAATAAATTTATTATGAAAATGTCAATATTAAACTTTAAACACACCGTGATAACCAATCTTTTTATTAACGAAAAAAAAACCCCAAAACACACCATCATGTTTAATATACCCGAAGCGAAAATAAATTAGCTATTTCCTATATGGCTGCAAAAACACAACAGACTGTGAAGTAATACAAACTCTAATTTTCCTAAGACAAAAAGAGAAATACGAAATATTTGTGATTAATAAGCTTTGGTATAAATATATTTTTTCTCTATTTACTTTTTTGTTCTATACTTCTTTGTAGGGAATTGACTGTTTGCACTTTCATCGCGTTACATAGTGATTTAACAAGAATATATTTTGCTTACAATTTAATTTAAAAGTACGGATTGAATTTACCTTTTGCTATCGATAATAAAATAATCATTATCTACATCAATATCCAGTCTGTACTCGAATTTCAAGCATGTCTACATTTCAGTTTCAAGTAATTATTAATAAAATTTATATTACAAATAAGCTTATATTAAGGCCAAAATAAAATAAGAATACCTGTGTTTACGGGTACCCGAAAGACCCTATTTTATATCCGTTAACATATCCATTAAAAATTGTAGCATCTATCGCGTTTACAAGCCAGTTGTTGACGGACAAGCGGACAGGTTGGATAAATCACTTACACAATACGTCATGTAGGTACACTGATGACTAATAAAACCAACACTTACGTTCGTTATCTAATGGAGCTTGGGGTTAGGCAAACGATATAGGATCAGACAAAGAGGAAGATCAACTTTCAGCGAATGGGATGTGTCTCTTATTTTAAACCATAATCAATATGTATAACTAATGACAGCTGAAATCGATCCCCACCTTCCAGCTCTAGCAGTATTCAGCTATATGTAACCAACGAGGTTCTGCCTTAAAATAAAGTAAGAGCACTCGGAACGCATATTATGTGCGTGAAGATTGTTGTTATTTTTCCCAGCACCATGATCCTTACCACAGATTGGATTTACTTTATGATCTCATCATTAGGTAATATACGATTCAAAAAAAGTAGGGGATATTTGATTTTGGGGGCATAATACTAAAATATGCAAATGACTACGAAAAATGTCACTATAGAACCTAACAGAAGAAACATTTCCAGTTACATGTGACGCCCAAACAGCTACCGCATGGAATGCAGGTGATGCTTGGGATCATCATGGGGGTCCAACCCAAGATTTGCACGACTCTGACTTTGAATGTTACAGTCATTGTGGCATTGAATTCCAGGGTGGAAACATCAGTTTAATTGTTTTAGTGACCAGAAAACAAATTTTGATATGCGTCGGCTTACCCAAAATGAAAGGTTACGTGCCCTTGGCATGCTACAGATCGGCACAACACAGGCGGTTGTGGCGCGGACGATGAATGTTTCTCAGTCTGTCATAAGCAGGCTATGGTCCAGATACCGTGATACACAATCTGTACAGGACAGACCACGCTCAGGTCGACCAAGGGCGACAACTCAAGCCCAGGATCGATTCATCCGTACCTTGGCCTTGAGAAATCGTGTCATCACAGCAAATCAGATCAGCGCTCGTCTTCAAACAGACACTGGTGTGAGAGTGAGTGGCCAGACGATTCGGAATCGACTGCATAGGGGTCACCTTCGCGCCCGACGTCCTCGCGTGATCCCTTGTTTGAGAGATCATCACATTCAGGCAAGACGTCTTTGGTGTAGGGATCGTCAACACTGGGATAATCGACGCTGGAGCAATGTGATGTTTTTAGATGAGTCAAGGTTCACTGTTGATTTTTTGGACAGACGTAGGAGGGTGTGGCGTCGTCGAAACGAGCGCTTCCAAGACGTTAACGTCATCAGACATGATCGATTTGGGGGTGGTTCTGTTATGGTGTGGGGAGGCATCACTGTTGCTGGAAGAACGGCTTTACATGTTGTTGCAGGGCGTGTTATAGGCCAGTACTACTGGGACAACATCTTGGCAGTCCATGTTGTGCCGTTCGCACGACGTCATGGCCGCCGTTTCATCTTCCAGGATGACAACGCAAGATGTCACAGGGCCAGGATCGTTACAGGTTACCTCCAACAACAGAACATCACCACATTATCTTGGCCAGCACTGAGTCCCGACCTCTCCCCCATCGAGCATGTATGGGACATGCTTGGACAGAGGTTACGTCAACGTCAACAACGTCCTGCCAATATCCAAGAACTTGCTGCTGCGTTGCAACAGGAATGGGACAATCTGGACCAAAATGACCTTAGACGTCTCATTAGGAGTATGCCACGTCGGATCAATGCTTGGTTGGCAAACAGAGGAGGATTTACCCGTTACTGACTTGGTTGTGGTGCTGTGGTAACTTTGCTGTTTGACCCCGGGTATCATTTTACCCTTATAATGGTCAGTCTGTGCCTTACTTAGTCTAACGATCATTTGGAATAAATCGATGAATGTGAACTTCATTTCATTTTGTCATTTGTTTCTTCGTCAGTTTCATTAGGTGACTTTAATAACACTTAAAAATAAATATCCCCTACTTTTTTTAATAGTATAGTATATGTTATGTTATGTTCCCACTGTCGTGCGATGCGTTATGCTAGGATTGTCCCTATTGAGTCAACGATCTGCTACGTGCAGATACGTTTCGATACGGTCAACACGATTGCTACGACTAACCTGTTTTGGGGTGCAACAGATGATCCAATTATCCCCGAAGGTATATATCTTTAAGTCAAGGAATCACAAGTAATATTCTGTTTTAACAATGGCCATAAAAATGTCAAGAGTTGGTATATCCAGAAGCCAGAACTGGTTTTCCTCTGTTTGCGCTGCAGCAAAGACAGGAAGCGTTGTCAACATCTTTCTAGATAAGGGAAGACCTAAACTACACGAACATTTCCTGTGCACGACGCTCTTAGGTGATGAAATCAATGAGAATCTACGATAATGTCGATAATATGTACAGTTAAACATTGATCAAGTAGGTTAAATGTAACAATTACAAGTTAATGGGGTTTCTGTTTAAAGAGAGTCGCTATAAAGGTAGTCAAGGTACTGTTTCAAGTAGTATTAATAAATAACAAGTAAATAAAAATTTACCACTGTTATAGTCATTTCAAGTCCACAATGAGCCATGTCGTCGGCAAAGTAAAAGCAACCGCAATAATCACGTTGTCATAATGAATAATTTAACAAGTAAGGCAGTACTAATACTATATGGACCAAGAACCGTGTATAACGTCATCGCCACCATCTTGGAATTCTGACGTCTTATCAAAAATCGAATTCCGTCAATTGATGCGCAAGCATGTCAAGTTTCATGTCGATCGTACTTGAATAGGTGGAACTTGGGCCTTGTTCGAAGAAATTCATCCTAAAATTTTACTCGGTATACCAATAAAATATAATTTTGAGTCTAAAGCTTTTATAATCCAATATACGGTAATAATACTATTCAAATTGTCATATCGCTTATTTTTAGATTTGAAAGGACCAATTCGGTTATTTTTTCTCTTTTTTTTTATTAACGGCTAGGACCTTTATTACTGCTTTATTATACCCCTGTGTTTGTTTCAAGGACAATATTGCTGGGGGGAGGGGGTTCTTTGTTTGCTATAACCCCGTATTTGTTTCAAATCTAACTTATAAGAAAGGAACTTACCTAAGAAAAATGTGTTACATTCCTCCAGTACGTTTATCAACATTCTTCTTTATTTTAAAGCCTATAAATAGAAAAAAAAACACGTTAAAAAATGTAGTAAGTAAGCAAAACAAAAAATCTACTTATCGATTTATCGATTAGCTTTATTCGATGTAAACTATTTCATTGAAAACGTTTGTTAACGATTATAGTATTGGCTAATGGAGAATAGGTAAGTCGATTATAGCTATGCATTAAATAATGTATTAATTTGGTTTGATGACTGACATCTTTAGTTAATAAACACGTGAACCAAATGAACTTTTAACAAATTGAACATTAGCTAATAGGTTCGATTAATATATAAACAGAATATTTTATAGTTTATGGAGATCAAGTAAGGTTTAATCTCCCATTGGCAATTTTTCTCTATCAATATAATCTTATCAATAAGTAAACGTCTGCATTCGCCCTTTCAACCAAATCCCTCCCCCTGTCATTTTGTAAAGAGACCCCTGGGCCATCATTGCTATAAATATGCCCCTTCCATTTATCAAACAACACAAATGATGTGGAAAAAATGCCTCAATAAAAGATCCTACTTTTAATTTGATCAATCAAATTATTTCAAACAAGTACGATAGTATTATATGGGCCAGGAACCGAGCATGACATCATCGTCGCCATCTTAAAAGTTGTATCAATCGAAGCGCCATTGTCCAAAAAACGAGTACATGCATGTCGACCGTACTTAACTTGGCGGTGCTTTAGGCTTTTTTTTTAAGATTCCCCTCCCCCTCCCCTCCTCCCGCGAGAAGAACAAGGTAAGTCGATTGGTCGATTCTGTATTTCTACCAATAGTTTTCCTATGCGGTTTCTATCATTGTTGTTGTATAAAACTAGGTGGAATTATGAAAACTATGACATGATAACTGCAAATAACAACTTCAACTTGTAAATGTCATCTTTCAATGTCCGTGTTCCACGAAGAATCTTTGACCAAGGTAAAATGTCTCTAAGTCTTAATTCCGAGCTGTTTATACTGGCTCCAGGGCGATAAATAGCGTATCTACAAAATATAATAGACATCCAATAAGAAGTCTACCAAACGGGGTTAAAACTGTCCTCATTTACCTCTTTAAGATTCATCTGTTTTATGCCCGGGCATAAAATCCAGATAACCCATAACACATTAAAAACTAGAACATGACTTTATTCCGATACCTAACTTTGTTAGATATTTAACTTCGTGAAAATGAAACTGTTTGCTTTTATATATGATAGAACATTTTACTGGCTGTCTGATTTATACTTGTAGCATATATTTACCATAATGTGAGTTATCCGGTTCATGTACGATCGCGTATAGTAAGGTTTCCGGAAAGTTAAGACAATGGTGATGATTATTAGAACGTCTTACAGAGCACATCAAGTGACCAAACAAAATTTTCTGTACTCGTAGCCAGTGGTTACCTAATGCACTAATTTACGGCAAGTTCGCACCAATCTGATTGACAATAAATCAGCCATCTTCACTCAAAGTCGCAAATACAGACTAAAACACTCTTAAGCCAGTGACCGAATGCACATTCGGAATGTTTATTCCTGACTTACCTAAATAAAGCCGGGATGTGTATCCATTAACGCCTGACTAATTAATTAATCCCCTAAATAAATAAAACAATTGACTACGAAATAATTTGTTTTGAAATTTATTTTTAAGATTCAATTTAGAATTTGTTTTATAATGCCATAACAAAGACAGTCGCTGTAGCCATAACCCCTGTGTCCTTATGATCAAAATAAATTTGAGTAAGCCAACCGTAAACCTGTGCGGTAATTGGATGTCTATGAAAACAAACAAGATGGATGTAAAATTGTTTTCGACGGCGCTACGATCATCTATGAAACCAATACTAATTGTCTTCTTTTACGAAACGAAATGGTTTCAAGCATCGGCCATTTTGTGGTGGTAATTCTGGATTTGATCGACAACACTGTTTCATTCCGAAGCAACTGCGTCGAATCGTCTTCGTCTCTGGCCACAGCACACTAATAGAGATGGTTCGTTATACCTCGAATCCAGAGATCGGTGCTGTCACAGTGTTTTTCTTTTCCAAGTGTCATCAATGTTGCTTCAAACCTGGAAGAAACAGTAATAAATCTAATGTTATCGTTCATTCTAACGACCTTCCATGATATAATCTAACATTATAGTCTACGTGTACTTTGATATATTAATGGCATGTTTTATGGTGACCCAACCTCTATCAAGCTGCAAATAAATCAAATTACCTTTCGCCAGACACCGAAGACGTGCTTCGTATCCACCAGGTTTTCGCGGATTCATTTACTGACGAGACCGTCCTTCTCCATTTGGAAGCTGGATTGGACGTCATATACTCTAAATAGAACGTAAAAAATAAAATAGGAACAAATATCTCACTACGTTAAAAATAACAACACAATTAAATTTGGGCTGATTAATTTTGCTGGTTATCAATTAAATTGAATAACAGATTGTTTGAGAAGAGGCATCTGGCTATTATGTGTGCATTAATATGGCAAGTGTACACGTGCCATTAGGATCTAGCGGAATTAAGAACGCTGATTAAATATAGACATAGGTATATACAAAGCCTTGTAATATCCTTTATTTAACTTTCGCAACGTGATAAATACGAAATGTCTTACCTGGACTAACTAGCGTTGTTGTCAGGTGTATCTGCACCACCCTTATACTGTTCTCATTTAATCTGACACCGGCAATGTAATCGTCTTGACACTTTTTTCATTCTAAATTGATAGTTGAGTGTAATATAGTTCTTTGGTGATTCACGTTGGTTGCCGCAGTTGTGGGGTGTGTTCATAATCGAGAACGTCTTTACTTATGACGGAAGAGAACCGACGTCACATTTAGGTCCCTAATTGAAAAATATTTTCGGTTGTCTGATACTTAAACGGTAATATGTCGAATAATTTTAATGAGATTGGTGTGAACGTGCCACAAATTGCATATAGTAACCCTTAGCTACAAGTACAGGACATTTTGTTTGGTCACTTGATGTGATCTTTAAAGTAGTATGACCAACTGCCATTTGTCACTTTTATCAGTCACTTTAAATTCAACTCAAAGATCTGTGATTGTATAATTTACTAAACAATGTTACAATAAATGCTTTAATATTGGATTTCCATTATCGTTATTGGGCAATATTCTAAAGATATAAAAATCCGCCAGTGAAGACAAATTATGTAAGTTATTGAATTATCTGATATTTAAGTGAAAAACATAGATCAAATTAAATAAGTCGCCATTATTGTTTCGTGAGGAATATTGTGTTTTGCATTGTAAGAATTGTATTTTTATTCAGTCTACACTAAGATAATACATTTAATCACAACAGTTAAAAGCGAATGCTATCGCAGGAGTTTTATTTTATCATTTACTAAGCTCATTGTGTAACGCATTTCAGAATTATTTTAAAAAATAAACCAAACGTTAAGTAACAAATAACGTTGAAAAACACTTTTGGAATTTCCGCAATTACGGAAACAGACGAAAATTAATGAGCTCAAGCTAAATCACGTGTCACTACGTCATAGACGACACTCGTCTAGCAGCCAATGGCATCATAGATTTATGATAGCATTGACAGAAAGTGACAGCTTGTCAATCATACATTTCGCTCTGAATGTTCTTCCATACAAGTACAAGCCTGCATGTAACGACAGTGATTATGATGGTTCAGAACATTCTAGCCAAGGAGAACAATCGCTGCAGTCATTCGATTCTCGATAACTTTTCGCTTCATTTATTGATGTTCACGCTTCATCGGCGAAAATAACAACTTGCAAATGCCATATCGGCCAACTGGCACTCAAACATATTTTGGAACTCCGATGGCGCGATTTTGCATGAAATTATTTATGTTATTTTATTTTATTTTTTTTCGTTCGATGCACCAATATAGGCCTACTAGGCCTGTGTATAGCCAGTAGGCCGATAATCGCACCGTGGGCTGGTACATCGCCGAGGCATCGAAGACATCATAATTTCACTGGTACAATTAACCTTGGTTGCCCGTCGTTTCCTGTAAGCCCTTCGAGTTTCCTGGGGAACAATGTTGGCCTGACATCAGATTTGAGTTTCGTTCTAGCATTTTCGTATCCCAATTCCTTCAATCGAGCAGGATCACGTTCGGAAGCAGATGACTTAAAATGCCCGGACAAAGAGCATTGTTTTTTGGGAGGTAATTTTTTTCTTTGTAGAAATATTCAGAATAACTTTTTGGATCACATTAAAACAACCCTGGTAATAGCGAATTTGAGCGTAAATGATTCAGAGAGAAAATAGATTTTTTTTTTAAATTTTCATTTGCTAAGTAAGCTATTATTCAACATGGCATGTGCCAAAACAACTAATTAATAGGGACATTTTGGTGTTAATAAATGTCAATATAATATCGCACCTAAACAAAAGCAACGCTACCGTTGCAATATACGCCCACATTCCTGCTTTGATTGATATGGTATTTTTAAAAAAAAATGAAATGGCTGCAACGACTGTAATATGTCAAGAGGCAAAGAGTGTTTTGCCAAAATTTACAGACTAATTATTAACAAAAATGTGGGTGTGACACTGCCCCTGGGGGTCGAGACATGCACCAAAATAATTAGTTGCTATCCTTGCGGTATAAGCAATAAATATGCAAAGTTTTTAGATGATCCATTCAGAATTTCAGCCTGTAGACAAAAAATACAAAATTTGTGCGTGGTTCTGCCACAGGGTGTTGGACAAGGACAAATATAAATAGATACAACCCTATGATGAATCATACCGAATCGGATCCAAATCTGATAATAATTGTAATTTGTGGATTATTTACAGATAAAATATTAACAAAAAGTGGGTGTGGTTCCGCCTACAAAAAAAGGGGGGGGGGTCATGCACCAAAATTAATAATTGCCATCCAAGCTAACCAAGTTCCAAGATAATCCGATCAGAATTGTGGCAGGTAAACGATAAACACAAACATTGGGCGTGACTTTGCCCTTGGGGCTTAGGACATGCACCAAAATCAATAC